ATTTTTCGTCTAACCGAAGAATTCACGGAAATAAAACGTACTTCTCGACGGCTCGTTCGTGTTCCATCTGGCGTTTCGCCGTCGATCGACGATACGTTGGAACGTGAAAGTAGAGATCGTCCACGATCGCGCCTATGCTTGATTTAGTCCTTGTTCGCGTCCTCCTCTCGTCTCCTCCCCCTTTCCAAAGAGTTTTAACTAGTTTGGCATTGTTGTTTCTCCACTGGTATCGTTGCGTTATAATTTTACATTTCTTTTTCTTTATACCCTGATATCGCCAACTATCTCTTCTTGTTGCTCGTTGTCCGTTAAGTTAAAAATATTTTGTTTTTATTAGCGTTGAACGCAACGATAAGCCGCCAGAACCAGTCGCGCACTGCTCGGCGCTTTGAATGCACACATTTTTGTGCGGTATGGCAAGCGGAACGGATATAGCGATCTATTCGAGGTGGGTTTTGGTCCAGCCGTTTCTTGGCTGTAGGCTCGTGTTTAACGGATCTTGGTAGGAATCGCTGTTAGGTTTTTGTCGCGGAATATTGCTTCAACCCCTGTTTGCACGTAATTCTCTACGAGATCGCTACATTTCTTCCACTCTCTATATCTACTACACGTACCTTCCTACATGCGATTGTTAGAGATAATGGCATAAACATTTAATATATATTGCCCTGTTGGCGCGTCACCCGAGTCCGGTAGTCGCATGTCGTAATTGTTACGCAGTATTCGTTCGTTCCGTGACACTTTGTCACGCTTTGTGGGCGTTATTCGTTGACCGATTTAGGCTTTATTTTTGAAAATTACTCGCCAGGAGCGTTTTCGTTTTCATCGTGACATGTTGTAGCCATCTTTCGTGGCGACCGATTGTCTATACGGAGACGATGCGGTATTTTTATATTACGAAAGCTACTATTATTTGTACAGATTACCGATATTGCGGAAACTCGTTCATGTATGTACATACTTGAAAAAAGTCTAAAGTGCGAATAAAGTAATTATTTTTAAAGTAACGTCGTATTGTCGTTTCGTTGTTGTTTCGCTCGTCGAGTATTTATTCGTTCGTTCTCTTTACCCATCCTTTTTTTTTTATTTTTATCCTTATTTTTATATATGTATTTTTAGGGATATATTTTATAGATGTTGTATATTATTTGTTATATTTTTGCTTAATGTTTTTTGTATTTGTATTTTATCCCCGTACACTCTGTATTCTAAATAAATACCCTTAGGGGTGCCAGCGCTCATGCATTCAATAAACGAGCGCTCTCTCTCTCTCTCTCTCTCTCTCTCTCTCTCTCTCGTTGTTGCAATTTTTTTGCGCACGTATAGAGAACACACGGTCGTCATTTTTAAATCATGCATTTTTGATATACCGAGTTCGCGTTACGTTCCGCGGAACACAGATTTGCATATTCCATCGTGAAATATGCTCGACAACGAAATCTCTGTTTCGATTTACGTAGATTGCAATGCGATTCCTCGTTGATGTTATTCGCCGTGTCAAAACGATGTTATTGTCGTTTGATAAAAGGAAACGAAAAGAGTGAAGGTAACGATTCGAAAGGGAGTACTACGTTAGCATGCTTCCGGCCGTAGTTACGTGCAAAAGCAAAGCGACGATTATCGAACCGTTGACCCATACTTTGCGAATCGTATGCTCGTCTTTTTCACGAATTAGGCCAGGTCAGACGATAATAGCATTGGCAAAACTAATTGATAGAAATCGATTGACCCGCATACTAAATATAAGTTATTATTTTCGTCGTTGTCGCTTCCTCGAGGATTTTCTCTAATTGTAAGTCGTCGAGCTACACGCGAAATGTAGAGAGAACGTTTGATGGACGATCGATTTCCATAATCGCTAGTTTCCGTTGTTATGTTCGAGCAGCACTTATCTTTGAACGGGTCCCTTGAATATGTTTTCGTACATATACGCATACCTATACGTACGTAAAACAATGGAAATTGTGCATTTACGCTATCATCGTTGCGTTTTCAACGAGCACAGAGTCTCAAGTGGTTTTGATTTCGAACGAGCATTATTGATACGTCTGCAGTGAATCGCGGGTCGCAAAGCTAGTTGTGCGAACATTAACCGCAGTTAGAGCCGGCGCATGCATCTCGTGTACCGGATAACGACACACGATTCCTCGCGTCATAAACCGTGCTTATTCAATTACGTTTCCATGGAAAAACGCGTTCCCAGCGGACGGGGTGCTGGTCACAGAGTTCGTAAAGTCCGTTGCGCGCACACGTACACGTCACGAACAGAGGAAAAAATAAAAGCCATTCCCGCTCGGAGAGGATACTGAAGTACAAAGAAAAAGTGTATGGTAATTTGATAATCCTGGACAATGGTCGCGAGCGTGTTTCTCTGGCCGTTTCAACGTTCAAGCGGACCTAACTCGCTCGGCGTTATGATTCGAAGGTGTTTTGAGAGAATTTCTCTTCGAGATAACGAAGATATGGTTTACCACTTATTTTCAGTTTCCTAACTTTCATCGAAAGTCCCCGACATGCTAAAAGTCCGGTTGCTTCTTCTTGCTTCGAACGGCTCGGAATTGCGTGCACAGTTTTCATTTACAAGCTAGAAGGAGTTGTTCAATTTAATTTGTGTGCTAATGTCCGTTACCTTGACGAGCGGCCGCGCCACAGCCAGATTTGCGTTTCATTTACTTTGTAATGTATTCGGTGACCGACAGTTTTGTTCTTAGACTGGTTTGTATGCATCGTCGCGAAGCCGCAGAAAAGAACGAACGACGCTGAAAAAGTTTGCGAGTTCGTTCAGGATCGCGTTGTACGTATTCCGTAATGCTTCTTCGCTTGTTGTTTCGCTTCGAGATTGTTTGAGAACATCTTTGAATTTTTAAAGACTTACAACGTACATACATACACTAGTGCAATAGTAATGTAGAATCGCAAACGAAGAAAGAATGGCCTCGCTTTGCAAGAAACGATTTAGGGGCAGTTCTCGCGTTGTTCGAAACTTGTGCTCGTCTCAGCTCAAAGAATTCCGAGAAACCGAAAAGTATCGCGGAACTATGGAATTACTCCAGGTGCGAGCTCGAGATGTGACTCGCCTCATATGGTTTCGTATGATACGCAACGATAGGTCGAGTTTCCACCGTAAACCTGGCCGATATATCGCCAGAGCCGAGACCGAAACAACGAGAGCAGTGGCTCGGCTCTTCCACTTTCTCGACGTTCTCTCGAGGTTCTCTCTAGATTCTTCATCCACCTTCTGCAACTCTTTCTCCAGCGAGAGAGTATATATTTCTCTTGCAGGTTATTTTCAAGCTCTTTCCGCCTTGGTCGGAGTAATCGACGTCGACGTCGACGAGCAAAGATTACAGTCGGTCCGAAACGAGAGGGATCCACGCGAAAACGATAACGTAAAGTGGCTAGAAATAGGTGAAAAAAAAGATAGGACAGAGGAAAGCGGTTAGTTCGCGACAGAAGGTCGAACGAGGAAACCAACTGCTCGTTCAGTTTCGGTCCGTCGAGGGAAGAAGCTTAAACGGTTTTTGCACGGCCGAATTTCCGACTCTAAACGTGTCAAAACTTTTTAACGAGCTCGTTAGGGAGCCAGGAACGGCGGGAAATTAATTATCGCTGAAAGACCGCTGCTCCTCCGGCACACCTTTCGTCCTTCGAGACCGTCCTCTTTTTTTTCTCTCTTCTACCTTCAAACTTTCCCATGACACTTTTGTTCGGTTACTTTGAACAGATTAGAAAGCCAAAACTTAATTATACTTTTACTTACGAGTACGTACCTCCTATTGCGCGTCTGGTTGGTTCGTGGCTATAAAAGATGGCACTCGAAAGGGAATAGGCTGTTAAACGAATTACGATACTCGACGGAAAGAAATATTTACGAAGGAAAGACTCTTGTTTGGAAAACAGATCGGTATTTTACAGACGACACCGACGCCGACGCCGACGCCGACGCCGACGCCGACGCGACGGTAACGCGTCGAAAAATAATTTCCGTTCGTTTGGTTTTAACTGGTTGCGGTGTTGCGTAAAGTTTTCCAGACTGCCCCGATTGATTTATTCGATTAGGTAATTCAGCCATTATCAAATCCGCGGAACGACAATCTAATCAAGCTCGGTCGAAATTTACAGCACGTATGATCCCGAATTGCCAATAAACCGGGCCGCGTTTACGGTTTCAACGCGTGTGCTTTGCACTTGATTGGTTCCTACGCGCTGTGTGAATCGCCAACGAACGGGATGCCCTTTGTTACTTGTAAATTGGAGGATCGATGCGCTCAATTTACATCCACGGGTTTACTTGGCTGGCCTACGCCGCGCCGCGTCAGCCTTTCCCCGCACGTACGAACAACGACTTCCCGTTTCGATTCCGTTTTCCGTTAACCTTGCGTTAAGTCGTTTGCGGTTCGATATTATCGCGTACCGGGATTTTTTTCTTTTTTGTTTTCCTAGTTTATGAACATTTATACACGTACTCGTCCCATTTGTTTCCATGATGGACAAATTTTCGAGTTCGGTAATTGTCGCAAAGGAACGAGGAGTGGAAATCGAAAGAAAACACAGGTAAATAGTTTCAAAATAAGAACGACCGTAATTCGATTAGTCGTAAATTTTATTTAAAGTATCGGTAATGTTGGAAACGTTAGGATATATCGTATTCGCGAGGCTAACGCTCGTTGATATCGCGACTACTGGCACACGAATGGTCGTTACATTGTTTTATTCTTTAATTTTTTTCAAATTTTTTTAATCGAAACGTTAATAATGACGCAACATTCAGTACGTTTTCTCTTTTCATTTGTCCTTTGTTCGACAGGCGAATGCAATCATTAAAATGATGACTATATTAAAAGTTTGCTGTAAAAACATCGTTAAGAAAAGATATCGTTTGTGGTGCGTTTAAAATATTACGTATACGAGTCTTAAGGTGATGGTTACGATTAACGAAACGCGTACCAAACTTATCGAATCGCGAACGCGTGATATATGTAACTTGTATCAACGTCAACTTTGATCGAAGGGAGGCGCGGACGTAATGACCGATCTCTGGTAGACAGGCCAACACTGGGAGTTGTTGTTATACACATAGCAAAGAGTACTATGTATTTATATAGAAATAGTATTTACAGTATTTACCTATTTGTTTGTTTGTTTATTTGTTTAGATAAAGTAGTTAGGTAAATTAGTGCGCGCACTCCACGCTAAAGATAGTTTTCTCGAGTAGGTGAGTAGTTAGTTAGCCCTGGAGCAAAGTACCGATCGGTCATACCGTCTGGGAAGCGAGGGTTGACGAAGAGAGTCGTGGGTGTTTGTAGTCGGTAGAAATCCGGCAGTACATTTCGGCCCGGGCCGAGTTTCAGTATTAAATACGTGACCCCGCTGCGAAACGAACGAGTCATTTTGTAGATTTTCCCCCTCCACGTAAAAAAAATGGTCTGGGTTAGGTCTGGGTTAGGTATTATATTATAATACTTATAATAGATTTATACGAATATATAATATAATTATTATTGACTAGAACAGTTTTGGTTCCAGCATCGACGAGGAAAATCGTCGATTGCAGATTAAACATCAAGTACTCCAAGTCCTTGGATGTTCGAACGAACGTGTTGGTCATCGAATCATCCCTCTTTCGCAAACGTCCGAATCTCGCGTTATACGTTTCACCGAGATAGACATTGATCCGTTTCGCGAGTTGGGAGTTGTCGAAGAAAATCGAGTTTACCTATCTAATTACGTACGCGAACGAAAATCACGAGGTGACGCGATAAAAAGTGTCGAAGAGCGATGGTGACCGAATCCAAGTCGAATCGGTTCCAGAGAGAGTTTCGATTCCCCGGTGTCCATCGTTTCTCTTTCCATCTTTTCTCCGAGTCATTCTTTGGCGAGGATTACGGGGCCATCAGTTGTTTCACGCTGTAACGACAGTAATCTCGTCCGATTATGTCTTGGTGCGGAATTTCCTCCTCCAGAGGCTCGATCCCTTCGTCGGCCATATCGTCGCGAACCTGAGAACAGAAAAATTCGACTCTTGATTCGATAACGAGAATGGGAGTTGGACGAGGCGTGCGGTAACCTTGCTCGATAGCTCGATACTTATTTTATCGTACAACCAAACGTTTACGAATACAACGACAAAGCCTTACTTCGTCGTTCCATCGAACGTTGCGTCGCGTTCGAGTATCGCGTTTTTTCAGACTGTTGTTACGATTAACGAAATTCTCCGGTTAAAAGATACTTAGATCGAAAGAACGTTTCTCGAGAGAAATGGAAATCTTTCCTATCGGCGATTCGATATCCGCGGTCCAGAGGAAAAAGTCGATCAATTTTCACGGTGGTTCGAGTTCCTGAAAGTTCGGTCGACCGAGAGAAAGAAAGGGGGAGAATGATACGCGAGAGGGTGGTCGAGCTCGTACGGTGCACATGGCGTCACGAATATTCTCGGGAAAAATCACGGTCTGCGATCGTTGGCCGAGGAGAAAAAGGGAATGCGGGATACGGGAGAGGGCTTGCGTAGCAGGAAAGCCGCCGGCCAGGGGAAAAAGTTCGCGGTGCACGTATTTCATGCGACCCTGCACAGCCGCCATCAATTTTCGGTAAGCCCATTAACCTTCCATAGCCATTACGATCCGGTCCAAGCTTTCGGCGCTAGGCGAACGCATAACCGATGTTCACAACTTTTTTCAAACACTTCTTTTTTCTAGTCTGTTTCGATGTTTTTGCTTTTTAGATTGCATTTAGATCGGTTTCCTTTCTCGAACATCTTTTTCTTCGGGGAACGCCACCTCATGTTCACCACCTGAGAAAAGGCTAATTTTTCCGAATTTTGTTCGACGTTTGAAATATTCCGTTAAATAAAATTACTTTAGCTACGCTACGGTAATCAAGAATCTATTCTCGTTAGGTATAAATTCGAATTTTTTTCCGCGTCTGCGACGAACAACGTCGACATTCAATTAGCCAGTTCCATCATCGTTTTACGTGGTGCGCGGCAGACTAGTCTATCGTTTTAACAATTACGAGATTTCTAACGAAGGCGAGGATAGGAATTAAAATCGCTCCAAGATTTGCCTCTGACGCTAGCATCGGAGTTGCCAAGCGGAGCGAAACGCGCAGGCTTGCCTCGGCTAAGATGTACTCCAAGTTTCGCTCAGTTTTTTAGAGCTATGAAATTGGGTGCACGCTCGCTGACCCGCACCGAGCGAACGTCGAACGCGCCGAGCTAAATTATTTATCGGTCGAGACGAATTTTCATCCCGAGAAAATAATTCGGCTCAACGTGTTCTACGCGCGTACCGTACGATTAGTCTTTCGATCGAGGGAACTCGATAAGCGAGTTACGCTTTTATCGTCGATCTTTCTAGGTAGGCGAGTAATTATTTAATCGATCGATTTTAAGAAGAAAAACGATTCTCTTAACGCGATTATACATTTATTTCACGTATTAATAGGTTTTTCGAGCAAAGGATACGACTATGTACGTTCGAGTCGTTAATGGTACGTAAACCAAGTGCTCGAAGCGACGACTAGAAGCATAAATTACGTTGTTACGATACATTATATTATCTACGTACATTTCCGTTACTTTCACGTGTCATCGAATCCAGTTTTGCGGGCACCGTTATGTTGCATCTCCGAGCCACGATTAAATTATCGTTGTAATTTCAACGATGGGCATGTCGAGGGTCGTCAAACACCCCCGACGCTATTTGTACGTGCAATTCCGCTCGTTACGACCGACTCGGTGTAATTCGAGTAATATCTCGTTAAATCACATTCGGACGCAGTTGTCCTCGCGGCAGTGTCTGTTTTTGATTTTGCTGCCAAATTGATATTTTACGAGGGGTTAAAGATTGAAAATGGTTGAAACGGAGCGGCCCGGGCATAGCGCGGCAATTTATTCGTTTTCTCCTCGAATCTAGAAGACGGCACGCAATTATCGATTACGATTCGCGTGTAAAATAAAATAAATATCCTTTCGAATTGAAAGTAGAATGGTACAGGGATACGTTTCACAGGCGTTGGGCTGTCACGATGGAAAAGGAACGATGCGATCGCGATGGTTCGAGTAAGGTGGTGGGTCGAGCCCGAGCCAGCTGGTTCTGGGATTGGCAAAAGTCCAAGGGAACCAAAATCGTCGGCGTGTGTACACACGCGGACCAACCGTCTCCATCGACGGATTCATGATTTGTGCGCTTTATTAAATCTGATATCGGTTGACTCGGCTAACCCTCGGAGCCCGGCCATCGGTTATTTCGATTCGGAAACGAATAAAGACCGTTATTTCGGTCTCTCCGCTTTCATCAAGTACCGGTCACGGAAACTAAAGAATAAGAATAGTGAGCGACTTGATCGAAAATAATTCACCTTCTCCACGGTCTTGAACACGCGGATCAGATTGAGACCAGCCAACTTCTGAATGTCTTTCTCCGACCATCCGCGCGCTAGTAGCTCCGCGAAAAGCTCCGGGTATTTGCTGACGTCTTCCAGGCCCGTCGGTGTTCTGTAACAATCGTAACGTAGAGCGGTTTTACGGAAATATTTTTATTCCTTTTTTCAGCCTAACAGCTATCGGTACACCCTTTTACCGCGGCCGGTTTACCCTGCCGGATATCCCATTTGGCCACAAACCTACTTTTTGCACGCTGAAAAAATCCACAACCTGTTTACATAAATATTTCTAACAGTTTGTATGGAGAAAGGAAAAGGTTCGAGGATCGAGTCGATCAACTACGAATCCGCGTCAGGATCGGAACTGCTCGTAAAATTCGCAGAGGGAGGAATACAGCAGAGGGATCGTCGTCGACGTCGTTTCTATTTTTCGGTTCGAGATTAATTTGGCGAACGCAAAGTCGATGCGCGGTAACGAGCTTGTCGGGAGAAACAGCCGTGGATAAATGACGAGTCTCCTCGGGCGGTTTATCCCTCGTTACTTTAATTACTCTATAGCGAGATGGTAGCGGCGAGTTCTATTATGCAACAGACAGCTGGAGTCGTCGGTATGCGACTTTGCTTTTCAACAGTTGCGAACCGGGTTGCGATTCGAACGTGAAAATGTGCCACGAGGTCGAGTTCTTCGCGAACGTTTACCATACTACATATAACCATACCGTTCGAAAGTATGGATAAAGAGGAGACGAGAGCCATCAACGATCGTAGCTCGTTATTATAATATATTCGCTTTTGAATATTTTCGCACGTTATCGATCCGCACACGATCGAATCGCACAGATATCCACGGCGAATTCAACGAATGACAACCGGTGAGGCGTTAAAAGGGATCAGTTTGAATTTCGACGTTCTCGTTAGGTGCGTCATAACGAGCGCCGCGCCGGCAGAAACGGACTGGCCGCACCGCGGCTCCGGAATCGTTGAAAGCTACCCGCTGACAATGTCGAGCCAACAAGAGCGGTTGGAGACTTATTCATCCCGCGTCATATCGCGGCTGAAACTGGCAGTTATGCAGCTGTGTACTGTGTACAGAGAGATCGACCGTCTGTGGTCACGTGCGTTGTTCTAGTCTCGGAAATATCCAGATCGAGCGAGTCCGTCGTGGTCGTTACGCTCGATAATTGCGAACCGACGCCGACGCGACGCAACGATCCTTGAAACACTATTATCCAGAAAATATGAAAAACATCTAGCTTTCTCGTAAACTATTCTCGAGATATCTCTGATACGAAACGAAACAGAGGTTAAGATCACTCGTCGAGTGAGCCTGTATAGTTTCGCAGCTTTCTGCTTTTGTCCCAAACGATGGGAGTTCGGATTGGAACGAATAACAATTACGTGCACCACCTGGTTAACGGGGAAACGGTCAAGGAAGAAGGATATCGCTGGTGATAAAATATTGCCAGTGGAAAATTGGCTCGGCTAGATTTATCGTTGCCGTTCGACGCGCACTAGACCAAGTTGTTGCGCCACCGTTGGTTATCCGTGGTTTCGATTCGTGAAATTTTCGATTCACCCTACGGGATTCTCATCGAATTCGAGAGAGCATCATCCACGTCGACGAATCGGCTCCGATCTTTTCCTTTTCTTTCCTTTTCTTTTATTGCGTGTATCACCGATGCCACTCACCTCGAAACCAACAATACCGTTTAATCATTTTCAGCAACTGTTCTCGTCTATTCGTCGTGAAATTGTCGTACATTTTAATGGAATATCCGAGACTTTTATCCTTCTTTGCCGGTATAGCGATGCTAATTACGTTCATTATAGAATCATCGAGCAGAATAATCGTTGGTAATTATCGGAGCAAATGCGACGATACGCGATCGCGTTTACCCGACTGTTTATCCCCCATTGGCAATGATTTGCTCGCAAATAGAAATTTAGTGACTGTTCGAATACGGAAGCGTGTCGTCACGCGAAAGGAATAGAGATCGATCGCACGCGTTACTTTAATCTTTCTTTCGTTGACGATAAACTTTAACAATTTTAATCGCACTCGAAAGTTTGTTATCGGTGTAGATCGGTGATCGACCATAGAAAAGAAGCTTTTTCGCCAACACGGAACTCGCATTTCCACGTTGTTTGCCCCTTCCTCTTTTCTTCTTATTTTTCCCGTATCGATGGAATCGAGACACACAGGGTCCAGGATACCCTCGCTCGTGCGAACGTACCTACCCGCTGTATGTACTCGACAGTGATTTATGGTAGCATACAAGTCGAACGGCGGGGAGGGAAGATGAAAAGGTTGTGTCAGAAATTTCCATAAAAATGTACCGTTGGGTTGAATGAAAAGCGAAAATAGAGCGCGGACTCGAAGGGAAACGCGTATAGAGCGCTCTTTCACTTTTCTTTCTTTTCTATTTATCTTTCGATGTATTTATAAGGATGACGCCAATTATGTATACACGTGTATATCTTTTTTTTGGTCTATCGATTTTATCGCTCGAGCATAATCGATGCATTATCGCGATATAATTATTTATACAGAATTATCCAAAGCCCCGTTCGAGCATTTCGGTATTGCAAATTTTAACATTCCCGAAGAACCTGCTGGTTAATGCTACATGTACCGTATTGTGTCGATGATATCGATTATCGCCAAATCTGTTCCACTCGAATTCTTATTTTATCTCCATCTATTTAAAGTTTATCATTTACGTTTACCGAATTATGCTTTCGCGGAATTCAACATTTCCCTGTTTGTATCTGGCTGTGGCGTGGGAACCAGTTACCATTTCTCCCAGTTTTTCAAATCTCGCTGCATGGTTCTAGGAAAGCATTCCTGAGGTTCCTTTCTGTACGGCTCGGTGAAATGTTTAATTTCAAGTCGCTTCCGCTATTACGAGCCATCCACGCCACGGTGTAAGTGGCGTAAACGTTGGTGAAAAGAAGGAATCGGGCATTGTTTTCATTCCGAAGCGAACATCCTCTTCAGATTCCTTTTCGTTGGCCGCAACGTCGTTGAAAGTGTTATCTCGCATTCTTTGTCGTCCCCTTGGACAATTAAATCACGAGCGTGGATTTCTAGCTTTACGGTTGCCAAGTTTATGGTCGGAAAGTTCGCGTGAGGGTAGAAACGAAACGTTGCGTTTTACTTTTAAAAAGACACCCTTGCGAATATAATATACCATTGGTCTGTTGAATAATCGTTTACAGTTTAATCGCTCGTTGTCGCGTTATTATATCGATGAAATTCGAGGATACGATCTGAAATCTAATATCGATGTTGGTAGCACTTACTTGTCCACTTCGGCAGAAGAGGAGCTCGGACCTGACCAATTTCCCGATAAATATGCGAAAACGTCCGAAGCCTATCGTATTCGCTCGATATCCCAACGATACCTCTTCTCTCACTTTCATTTTATTTTTTATTACTCCGACATGCGAATACGCGTCTCGATTTGCGTTCGCGTTCCATTTTTCAGTTATCTTTCCAGCTGTGCATCGCCACGCCCATTCGTGTTTTTCGCGCGGATTCGGAAAACCGAAAAACTTCTAACAGCTGCTGTTCGTTCTCTTTTTCTCTTTGTTTCGCGCCTTTTTTTCGACGCCGCACCGTGTCCGCTTAACAGCGAGCGCCGTGATTTTGGCCTCGGGCAGGTGTGTGGTGTATGGTGTATGGTGTATGGTGTATGGTGTATGGTGTATGGTGTAACGTGTCGGGTGTCGGCCATTTTACAAATAGCATCGCACCGACATTCGTGTATTTCGATCGATTTTTACAAGCTTTTGCGTCTCGGCGACTATTAAATTTTATTTAAACACTTTTTGTCAAAGAGTTACCAAATAAAACGAAACAATGTGATAATGGCTGACCGTGTCCGCGGAAAATCCATTTTCGGTGCTTTTCCAAATACTCGTGTTCTCCGCTGTTTCCGATACAATTCGTTCGAATAGAATTTCAAACGGAATGCTTCGATCTAACAATAAATTGTAACGATTCTCGAGGTACAGTTATCGCGTGACGACTACGCAACGATTAACCATTTTAGGATCTAACCACCCTGCAATTGCTATCCCTCGGATTTCGGTGATTTCGATGCGTGGAATACATTTATTTTTCCAAGTATCGTAAAAGTTTCTTAAATCGATCTGTATTCGACATTTTTCTAAATCGTGATAAATTTCTCGGAACCGTGTATCGATAGACTTGCATCGCGAAAGGACATCGAGTAGATAATTAACGTAGCCAATAAGGAGCTGTACCAAGTACCTACTTGGATCTTTTCCGTTCGAGAGAACGAAACGATGAGACGCGCGTCCACTATCCACGTGGAGAAGTTGAACGAGAGAATATCGAGAGCGTTCTATCGCTCGATTCTAGTCTCGTTGTACGTCGCCCTGTCGGTGAAACGGCCCGCGAATAAATTTCCTGCTCGATGGTCTTACAGCTATTTCGACGGAAATGCGCGCAATCTCCTCGAAGAAGACGCGGTCTGCGCTTTGAAAACGAGAAACGATCGTACGTCTCTCTTTCGTCGTATACGTTTTTATAGAGCGCTGATCAACGTTTCGAGCAAACATAAAAAACAACGCATGCTTTATGACCGTTACGCGGATGGATCTCGTAAATCGTGAGCAGTATAGAGAAAACCGAAACACCGCGCAAGGAGTTGCAACGTTTCGGTTCTTTTTAAGAGCCAGTCCACCGTGCGTTCGTTAAAGCTTGTTCATTTGTTTTGCGCCCGTGAAGCCAAGCGTCCTTTTTATGATTTATCGCCAAGCGAGAAGGAGGAAGAGAGAGAGAGAGAGAGAGAGAGAAACATAGGACATGTAAAGATATTTTTACAAGCTTCGGAGATAATCCGAGGAAAAATTATATGGTTAGGAAAGAAAAAGGGGAACGGGGAATGGGGAACGTCGAGTGAAAGACTTACAGATTGATCCCGTCGTACCCGGCTCCTATCCCAACGTGATCGATTCCGGCGACCGCTCGTACGTGATCAATGTGAGCTGGAACAGAGCAAGATAAAGGACAAGATTATTCATCGTGCGATGAAAGCGTGACGGAAATGATCGTCGAAGCTTATATTCAAGTTCCTCGAGGAATACGAACAACATCGCGTATTCCTCCGCGTACATTTGTCGATTAAATTACTAGCTGCATCGAGGAAAACAGATTTCTCCGTTTTAAGAAAGCAATGCCATTTTTCGATGTAAAAGGTATACATATATTTCGACGTTTGCTGATTAAAAACACTTCAATGGAGAAATATTTGTTTTGAAAAGTATCTTTGTAACTATATTCATCAAAGAGTACGCGCACCTGATCTATACGTGTATATTATACGTAAATGTCAAGTAAAGAGACTTAACAGCGTCTTCCCGGGAATCATCGTATCCGTAATTCGTTGAACCGAACGTCGACGAGTATATCTACGGGGCGCGAGCGTGCATCCGACGTTTCGCGAGAATCGGGTCTGCAAACACCGGAATCGCGAGCCGTCTTCTGCGCGGTAAGTGCAAACGCCAGTAACACGCCAAGGTAAACGCGTAGAGCGTGGTGCAGTTGACGCGAAACGCATCGAGCATACCCGTGAAAATTGCATTATTCGACGTACGTAAACGCACGGATGATTCGTGCACTCTGCACGATGCGCAAATCGAATGCCGTGGTCATGGCGCGACGCAACGTTCCGTTATTATTAACTGGTTGGTAATCGGCGCCCTCCAGACAGAAGCGTGCTACGAGACTGGCACGGCAACGAGAAATCAATCACGAGAAGCGATGTAATCGCGAGGGCACAGGCGCGACAACTGTCCAAATTATCGCTGCGATTCGGTTTAACGCAGCGCTTCCTGCTCGCGTGCATAATTTTCTCGCCACTTCCTCCCTGGTTCCGCGAGATTTCGCGACCACGGAAATGGACTATTATTAAAGCCCGGCGAGGCAGCATCGCTTTTAGTTGTTTTTACCAATTTGAAAAATCATAATCGGTAATGCGACAGAACATTTAATAAAGTCCAATAAATACGATTCGTTCGTACAATAAAATGCTAAACGATTATTGCCAATATTATTAATTTAACGTTGAAATGAATTTGGCTAATAAAACATGTAGATGCTCGTTTGTAGTCTGATTTACGCGCACGTCTATCTATGTAAAGTGTATCGCAAAGAAGAGAACCGGGAAATGCCAAGTTCCACGGTATTCCCGTTAAAATTGTAAAGTTAGTCGTGTTCATGCATCGCAAAGGGTTCGCGAATGTGCAAGCGTTATTGCTCGTTGCCGCCTTCTCTCTGCAGTCGCATTCGATGAGAACTCTTTTTTCTTTACGCGGAAACGTTGCGGGAGAATACGCTGCTGCATAAATTCGCTTTTGGCCCGTATATTTCGTTTCCGGTTAGAAAGATGAACATTATTCAAAGCATCAGCCGTTTGCGCGATACTGTTCGCCGGTAACCGTAACGTTGAATGATGGACGCCTTGCCCCGCCTCGCCTCGCCTCGCCTCGCCTCGCCTCGTTCAATTCCCACCGGTGAATATCGTCTTTTTCATTTATCTTTGAAGAGACATCGAGTCAACATCGATCGAAAGACAAAGGAACGCTAAACAACGCTTCGATTAGTTTTTAATTGGTTCGGGAGAAGGAAAATAAATAGCCGAGAGAGTTTTGCGACCCGAAAACATAAAGGCGTGCCATGCCATGCCATGCCGTTCTACTCGTATCGAAAAAAGATGTTGGTTAGTTTAATTTAATTTTCAACGAAACGAGTATTACTATCGTAGAAAAGACAAATGTTTTCAAGTCGCTTACCGGCCACATCCTCCAACGTTGACTTTTCGTCGCAGCTAATAAAATGGGGGTAGAAGGATACCATGACTATACCGTCCGTACGCGCCTGAAACAGAGAAAAGCGAAAGCAACTCCGCGATGTAGTCGTTTACATTTCCACTGTCTGTAAATTCCAAGGGTCGAAGGAAAATTCGATCTCGTAACATACCAAACGTCGTAGCGCGTGGTCAGGCACGTTTCGCGAAGAATTGCAAAGAGCGTGAGCGCTGCTGTGGCTGAAGATAACCGGCGCTCTCGATGTCTGCATAGCTACGAGCATCGTAGGTACGGAAACGTGCGAAAGATCCACCATCATGCCCAATCGATTCATCTCGAGGACGATGCTCTGAAAATGTACGTGGTATAATTATCACGATAACAAAACAAGTCTCGAGGATCGCGAGAACCGAGTTCCTTCGTCTCCTCGATGATACATATTTTTCATAGCAAAGGATGAACAAATCTCGATGTCATAATATTTCGTTAAATTCGACTAGGTCATTTCGTCTGGAAGCGATCTTGGTGACGTTTATTCGATTGAAAACGGCGATAAGGGAACGTTCGCGGAAAGCCGTGCGCAACAATTCAGAAGTTTGTTTGAAAAGTTAAACAGACTTTCGTACGATTGCTCGCGAGAGGGTGAACTTTTCTTTAGAGACACGGACTGTTCTGTTTTGCAACAGGCTCACGTGTGATCCGCGTGACACTTATTGCCAGCACCGTTCAATCAGATTGAAATTCACGATAGACGATGCCTGGGACGTTTCGTTTGCAAAGAATTTCGATCCGAGGACGTGAAACAGGAGAAGGTTTCCGCTACCTTTGCAATTCCAAAAAGTACAGGACGAAAAAGACCGACATCGACAGCAATTATATCGAATCGAGTACGGATAGGTCCTGTCGTCAGGCTTTCGTGATACGGTTGTACGGATACAATTTCGATGTCATCGTTGTTACTTGTTATATTGTTGGAACAAAACTAGATATCGAAATGTTGATCAACTCTCGGTAACACGTCTCGTTAAATAAATTCCTAACCACAGCTTCAGTCTACTCGTTAGTTATCGTTCGAATTCCAGAAACATTCCCATTCGTCTTTTCGAAGAACGTTGCATCCATTAAACGCGGATGCTTAGCTAAATCAGCACCGTCGCGAACAGTATCTTTCAAGATTCCTGTTTATCACGTTTCTCGGCTCCTCGTTTACAAGTTGCAGCCATCCTCCTCCGTTTTCATTCCTTGCTCGTCGACGCGTTCTTACCATAACGGTTATTCTTTTCGGTTCCCTTCATCTCGATTTTGGTTACATCGCGTCGCCTCGCCTCGCCTCGCCTCGCCCCGCATCGTTTCGGTACGTTCGAGTGAAATTAGCCAAAGGACGGATTTATCGCTAACTGCAGCAGTCATTATCACGAAATTGGGCAAGTTTCCGGTACCTTTCGAGCGAAGCAGTTGTCGTTAGACGCGGAGAGTTATCTCGCGAATCCCAAGGATTTCTCGCTAGCGTATTTTAGGCAGAACGGTGCATTCGTTAAACGAAAATGCTTCGTTCAAGTAACAACGTGAGAAACTTTAATTTTCCGGATTGTTTCACGGGAGCCAAACTGTCGTAAAAGTCAACCAAGTTTCGGCTGGTAAGTTGATATCGATTATCCTTCGAGAACTTGAATGATGACTAAACGCGTACAGTTCGAACGTTACTTTATTCAATTCTACCGTTATACACATACTATCGAATCGACGAAATTAAAATAACAAGACGGGTATGTTTGATCGTACGAGTCGAATCGAAACGAAAAAACGAGAAATTGCAGCTTGTTTCGCGTGCCTCGCGTTTCTTCATCGCTGCTCCGTTCGATCACAGCGAAACGGACGAGTTTCCCGGACAAATAAAACTCGTAACCCAGAGAGATCCATTAAGAAGCAGTTGTCGGTAAAAAGAAATGAGAAAACTCGAATTTGCGGCAGAAAAACGCATTGTTAGCGGAAAGAGAAGAAACACGTGCAAGTGACGCGCGACGTTCGCGGAGAAAAAAAATGCTTCGGAATCTCGTACCGATACTGTTCCTTTCATTAAATTACTAAGTATTTAATTAAATTACAAAGAAGAGAAGAGTAGAGGTTTCCTGCTCACAATCAGATATCGTTAGGGTTAGGTCTGTTGCAGTTACACGTTTCTACCAAACACTCGATGAATCTACCCTCACGAATCTTGGGAAAAGGTAACGTTATGTTACGGCGATCGTGTTAAGTACAAGTCCGTTCTATCGTCCGACAGGATGACGAATAGACTTAATCTTTTGGTGAGCTTTTCTCGAAGGTGCTCGATGTCAGGGTCGCATACATACATATATAGATATTTCTCCATTTATCGGTCTACTTGTTAACGCGATACTCAGGCTTTCAGCTCGTCGAAACACGTCGAGTTATCGACGCTGGAATATCGTACGATATCATCGCCTCCCAGCAAATGGGCCCTTACAGTTTATTTACGCCCCTTGCGCATGCTGGATACTTGCGCGATCGTCGGATATTGGCTTTAATCGAATATAAGTCGCGTGGAGAACGTACAGAGTCACGTAAAGTTACGGTGCTTAAAATAAGTTTCCTGTTCGACAAGGCAAAAGTGAAATCTCATCTTCCGCAGCAAAGTGATCGAAACTTGTTTATTTTTAAAAGCAAATCCTTTGTCGAAAAGTTACCAAGGAAGGCGTTCCGCGATCATATGGTCGAACGACATATGAAACAAAGCCGGAAACAAAACTTGCGGCGTCTTTCCTTTTTATCCGTGGGTGAAAACAACCAAGAGACTCGTCTCGACTTTTGATCGCGGTGGAGTCGTCCACTACCACCGCCACCGAGTCGTCCCTTATATTACTCTCCTCAGTGTTCTGTCTGGACAGCGAAACTTGTCTCGATACTTTTGTTTGTTACCGGCTATCAGCGATATCGTTGGTCCGTAAGTTTGACCACGAAACCCTCGGCGTCGATGCTCGCTTATTTAGATGGCAACTTTCGGAGAGAAAACGGCAGCTGGTCTTCCACGAAATGCTTTCCTGAACTTATCGGTCAAATCTAGTCAAGTGTCACGACTTTCATTTTTCAACATGTTTACGACAATACGAAACGCTTGAATCCAATGTTAAATACGGAGCCCTCGTATCATCGTACAAGTAGACAGATGAAAGTATCCGTCAGACGATGTCTCTTCTTTTCCTGGAGAGACCACGTGGAATTTTTATCGAGTACTCGAGGGAGCTGTTTATTACGCGGGTGTGGGTGAAAAATGGTGTAGCCGCCGAACGAGGTATAAAAGAAAAGTGGAGGATCGTATATAAAACGTCTCGGCGCGCAGATGAGGCCGCTTGGAAAAAGAGCTAGTTCTTCTTGTGGTTAGACGCATTATATTCCGGAAATTCATGCAAAACGCGTTCGATACATTCGTTGGAACGTCGGTTATTTGTTCGAGTAAGTCAAGTATACCTGACTTACAAGTCTGTAGTTTGACTTTAATGTAAAATTAGGAAACGCATACGTATACGTGACGTTCGCTCGTGTTTCAGACTTAAAACGAGGGAGATGACGAAAAGTTTTCGAGAATAGATTAAAGGCGGATGAAGGAGTGAGAGGGTTGCTGTGGGGGACACGAACAAGATTCGACATTTCGGTTACGTAAGTGAAACGAATGATTCGACACGTTTTCTGCTTCTAACGAGACTAAACGACTGAAGCAATCACTGAAAAACTGTAAGCGGTTTTCATTGAATATTTAAGCGAACTTGTTCTCTCATCTTCCCCTTGGTGCCAATCGCCAAACTTTTCTTTGACTCGAGTATCCGAGACTATCGGTTTCCGAGTTGTTTTGTTCTTCAAGACTTGTCTCGAGTAATCGGTTGTTTGTCAACCTAACAACTGGAATAATTGTATGCTAGTAGTAGATGATTGCCTCGGACAAAATATTTAAATTCTAATAATAAATGACCTTTACGTTTTCCAACCATCCGTTCTTCTTGGTTCTATTTCCCTGTGCAGACAACGATTTCAACGAGATACGATTACATGTAGAAGCGACTACTGGAAGTAATCGGATTACAATGAAACTGACTAAACGCAGAAGCCGCGATGATTAACGCACCTACGACATTTTACACCGATTCTTTGGTTCTTGTCCGTGGAGCGTGAACCGGCTTCCGGTTTATATCGCTATCCATGCCCTCCTAGTCGTTTCGTTTATATCCTTCTTGCCGTTGCCGTTGGAAAAGACCCTTGGGACTGTGTGGCGTTTTTCTGATGCTCTCGGTAAATAGAACACGTTGCCGAGCGTTGGTAACTTTCACGGTATTCGCATTACGAGAAAAGAAACATTGTTACGTGGAACACTAGGTTCACCAGTGGTGACGGCCGCCTGTCTACGAAACTAATATCATCGTCATCGCTGCTTCTTACATTCTAGAGTTCTTAGACCGATGAGTCGTTGCAAGACTATAAATACTTGGTAATCGTCGACATTTTCCTACTCTGGATCACGGTTTAAACTGGAACCTTGATCGTTCGAACTATGCGCGTTTAAAACGCGAACGATTGTTCCCTGGGTTGATCGATGCGAGCCATAATTTTCTTTCGCATAGACTTTTCGCAACGTCGACGTCGCGTCGCGTCGCGTCGCGGCGCGGCGATGTCGGGGTAGGAATTCATGAATACTTGGACGCGAATACCGCGAATACCGCGAATAGAGGACCGGGTAATTTTCATAAATAACTCGCGTTCGAATTTTCATCTCGAGTTTCAAGACCGAGCACTGAGCAGCGAACAGGTCGACTGCGGCGTCGAGCAGTTCGCATAACTATTTTCCTACATTTAACGCGTGCGGTCGCACAGTGCGCGAATAGAGTTTGGAAACTGCCGCTAATCTCTTCGATTCGCCTCCTCTTACAAGGAAACGATGCCAGCTTCAAACTCGGAAACACGTTTTATCCATTTTACCATTTTCAAAGAAATTACGCGCCGAATATTACGAAATCTTCCAAGCACTGTTTCCCGGATTCATAGAACTGGAAGATCCGCCTTATAGAATCATTCCGATCGGTTTGTTTGAACAAAATTAGAATTTTATTTATAGTCAGTTGAATACAATTATTTTTGCGACGACAATTTTTGCGCGCGTCGTTGTCTTCGGCATTCTAGAAAATCCTCGTGGAGTGGGATGAGCGACGCACGTCTTGCTCTTTTCCGTAAATAAAAAAACGGATTAATTCCCTTTGCCAAGACCATCGCGCGAGCCCTGTCACTCGTTCCTTCGATTTCGAGAAGTAATTGGTATCGATAAGCTCGAAAGTTGCGAGGACTATTGGTATCGAAAGTGAAAAGCTCAATTTTCAACGATATCGTTTGCAACGAACCAATATACAATTTCTTAGTTGAAAAAAACGTGTAAAATTCCAAGGAAGGTAATAAAAGTGCTCGTGAAATTAATTAGATATCGTACTACAATAGATATTTCTCTCGTGTCCTGTAATTAGATCAGCCTGTTTTCTCGATAGAATGAAATTTCATTTAAGAATTCTCTTTTATTTGTTTGTCGTTGTTCTTTTCGGATAGCAAGCGCGTGGTTCGTCGGTCTATGTTTAAAGAGAACAAGTCATCTTTTTCTACTCACCTTGCCAAAATTGGAGAGACCTCCGATGCGAGCCACTTGACCGGGTTCATCCGCTGTGCTGCATTCTGCCCTAACGAACCAATAGGTCAGTAACTCAATGCCAACAATCCTCAGCATTATCGTCCTACAATGCCCTTTAATCATAGAGTTTCATGTCCGCGATACTAAGCAACGCGGGCAGAATTGTTCCCTCGATTAATGACCACGAGAGAATTGCGCCGCGCACGCTATACAAACGTCTTGATTCGAAACGTCGACGTCGTGGTCGCGTCGATTCCTTCGAATATTCACGGATTCGTAAGAACCGATACTTGTAAACGATTGCTCGTCTTATCAAAACGTGTTTTCGATGTTAAACGATCGTTAATTTTAGTTTCGACGCATGATCGAGACTCTAAAATTGATCCTCCTTAAAAATAAAGTTTTTTAGCCCGATAGTTTCTATCGTTTGGAGAAATTTGTCGGCGACGATAAATGGTTCCCGGGGTTAGATTTGTAAATGTCTCTGACGTCGATGGGATTACATACGGGGCAAACACACCCAAGATACGAATCTAGGAACAGGCTTTCAGGAGTACGGGCAGTTTGGGAGCCATAATCGTCCGCGTTAACGCGATGTTCTCGAAGCTGGCGTATCTTTTTCGGTAGAATCGGGTGAAATTGTTTCTCGTTGTTCGATTTTGCTGCGCGTAGCCAAAACAACTCTCTTCTCGTAGATATTTATCAGCGTATCGATGAAATCTATCGGAGTCGTAAAGCGCGCGGTCGATGGCGGAAACACCGAAACGTAGATAATATTGTTACGGTTCCATTAATCCGCGGATGATTTATCGTTCGACCGGTTACGTAATTCCGCGTATAAATATAAGGGACGTTGGCATTTACGGGTGGTAGGTATACATTTCACGGCCACCGATAATATCATCGATCCTCGATGTTTTCGATTTTAACGGTGCGTTACATAACGCGTCGCGTTTAACTCGCTCAACGATCACCGTAGGATTCGATCAGCTACTATAGTCTCAGACTGGTAATGGTAACAGAGCTACGAATTATCGTACCATTTTCTCCATTCGATCGGTATTTGGCGTAGTATTGTACACAAAGGTCGTATAATCAATTATTTTTGTTGGCAAACTCACCAAGGCGTATTACACGTGTGAGTAAGTGTGAGGTATCTGGCACCCAACTCGTACAACATCCTCAGGACTGCTAGGCTCGCTCCGACTGCGTGGCCTCCTTCCACTCCTATCAGACTCGCTAATCTACCCTCCTTGTGCGCTCTCTCGATACCTGAAATCACATTTCGTTCCCAAAATGTTCAATATTTACAGTATTATAATTGCACCAAGCTAATGGAAGTCATAGTCGGAACAGCTGATGCTCGAGCTACGCGATTAATTAAAGTTCATCTTCGCTCGAGTAGATTTAATTAAATCATTTAAATTACCGATCATCGCGGGAGAGCGTTATCGCGGAGCGCGGATCATTAATTACCCACCGAGCATAAACGGGCTTCGATGAATCCCCGAGGCGTAGCAGATAACGAAATCACGGGGACTTTCAAAGAAGGATCGTTCGACCAGGGAAATCCTCCTTGCAGCCGGTATTTTGTCAGTATTTAGTCAGCGCGCCGCGAATTCGATTTCCCCGTCGCTTCGCATCGCGTCGTTTAATCGTTTTAATCGAGCCTGAGCGTGTAAGAGCCGGACCATCGAGGTTCCGTGAAATCGGATTCGCGGGTTCGGTGTCGTTTGGATTCGATTAAAACACCGCGTACAAATTGCGTTAGGTCCGGTGCTTCCGGGGAACATCGATATCGGGAACCGCGTATACGTCGAATCCGCGCGCGTCGCATTGTTTCATCGGGAGTACCAAACGAAATTGTCGCCAATTGTCGCCAATTGTCTCGTGGGACCTTGAACTTTTCCGCCTTTGACCAAACGCCATCGAGTATCCCCTCGCCTCGAGTTCGCGTTAATGGAACACCTCAATTCTCTCGCGACCGGCACAATTTATTCGTCTTGCGCAGCGTCGTTCCAACGATAATTTCATTTACTCGATGCAACAGTACACCGATACCTTGTCGTAATTAGTGTCGATCCAAGTTATCGATGCGTGCTTCGAAAGTATTCAAAGAAATAGTTTGATGTAATAGGAATATAAAGGAAACATAGGTAGGTATGTTTGTCGTTAGTTGGTACGCGAGCGAGCACCGAGGTAAATCGACCCGTTTCGTACCATCACCATTTCTCCTGGCAACTTTAATTTCTCTCGCAAGGGAACGTGCCCGGTGATTACGCTGTATTAAATCTCTAATGGAAGAACAACCGAAAAAGGAATGCTGGCTGGGAGGTACGTGCTGTCGATGAACCTCGATTTACCGCGCTCGTTGATTTATAGCCCTCCCTACACACGGTGCCCACCACCGTTCATACTTTCGGCCGAGTACTTCGCGTACAAGCTACTCGTGACCGATTACGTTCGCGTACGTGTAGTCCAAGTTTTCGCGTTATCAGCCGTTTCACGGGGAGAACGGCCAATGTTCCAGGCCGTTCTTCCTATTCATCTCGGAATTCCCGATGTCTCGCACGCATGCCGCTTCCGTTCTTCCTCACGGCCAATTTTTCCTTCCGAGTTGCCTTAGTTCGCTTTTAAGGGAGGGATGATTTCATCATTTTTGAACCAGAGACAGAAATTACGCAAGATACCATAACAACAACAACAACAACAAGTCGACTTGGTCGCGCGAGCATTGTAAACGAGAACACCGAGAACGGGTTCCTCTTCACCTCCCATAAATCCTGAGACTCCAACTCCCAGGGTCCTTCCAACTATTGCTCTTCCAAAGTAACGCTACGAAAGCACGCTCTACGTCAAAACTTTCCAGACAGAAGTGGCAATCGATCGATGTAAACACACCTACTTTGTCTATCGTTTCTTAGAACTGACCGTTCGACTCGATGTCGTCGACGTCGGTCCTCGGTAAGTCTTACGTAGAAAAGAGAAACACGTATCCTCTTGATAATATTCCTGTCCTTCTTAATCGATCGAAAGATCCGCGAATTTTCAACAATCGGACCCCTTATATGTACGACCACGTATCGCATGTCCATGTCCATGTCCATTTACATATGCATGTGCATGCCGACATGCAATCGGCGAGGTTTGGCTTATCGAACGAGCTGGCTCGACGGGTATGGCTTGACATTTTTCCATTTCAGTCGGAATTTACAACCGGCTGTATCTTCCCGACGTTTTCTCATCGGATTTCCGTTCACGTTGCACGAAACGGAGCAAATTATTATAATGTAGCATACAACATGGAAAATATACTAATTGCTTTTTTAAACGTTTGTTTATAAATTCGAAGCGAATCCTACGATAAGAATAGCGTTTCAGTTGGATAAAGTAACGAAAAAATGTCTTCTTTGGGTTCCAGAATCATTGTTCCTTCGCGTAACCTGTATTCCACGTATCGCGTGCAAAAGTTGCTAGAAAATCGACGTCCCCCGCAAAAATATCAACCCTCTTAGTTTCCTCGTTTTCTCTTTTCCTCGTTGCCTCGTTCTTTGTTTTTCGTTCTTTTATGCTTGGCGGCCACGGCGTAGCCTCTTCTCCGTTTACCTTTTTCTCGACGTTGAAGGGCATCATTGGGAAATAGGTTTACCGAGTCTCGTAGCTCGGAAGCTGCTCGTTACATCGAGAGGACGCGGCGTCATTTCCAAACGGAGGCGTTCTCTTTTCACGAGTTAGGATGCATGAAAAATTCTTCAAGGTGCATATCCCGCGGCGACGATAACGACGAACGGGACCGGGTGGCGGCAATGGGTGATTTTTTATTTTTAAGCGCTTGTACAAAGACGTTTCGTAGTTGCGTAAAGTGAACTGAAATGAAAGAAAAAGCGAGGAGAAAATGTCGATTCCGATTGTTCTCCGGTCACGTAGGATCGTAGGACGGAACTAATTGATTGGCGAAGAGTCGATTTATTATCCGGTCGGCGCGGGCGCGGGCGCGTCGTTAACCGTTCGGTTGTGCCGCGAGGCGAGAAATTAATTAAATTCGAGGAAGGCACGGCCGCGGCAAGCAAGCAGGAAGATTCACTCCGTGGATTTTTCACCTTAAAGCAGAAAACTCGAGGCATTCTTTTCGCGGGCGTGTGCCAGCAACCACCACCACCCTCTGACATTGGCATTTCGCCAGGAATTCTGGCGGCGTGTAACGTCGGACGGCCCATTTCAGGAACAAATAGAGGATGGTAATTCCCAACGTTCGTCGACCTCGAAGCTCGATTTCATATTCCTCGCGTGCGAAGCTCTCGAGAAAGAGCGTCCTCCTTCAGGATCTTCGATCCTTACGGTTTCCGAGAATTTTGATTTCGTCGATCGATTTGTTTGTTTAATCGTTTCCCCAAGAGTACGCTACTCTATTCTCGAGTACTTGAGATATTTCGAGTTATCGCCAACGATACAAACGAACGTTTCAAATGTTCTATCGTTGTCGTTTGAATCATCGGCAATCCAAGTGGCGTAAACTCACGAGTATTTACCACCCGAAGGAAAGTTCAAAAGTTGTTGTTGATTTAGAACGCGTAGACGACGGCGTAAGTTTTATCGAACAATGACTGACTCGGCGTTAACTTGTCGGCAGCGATATTCTCCCTCCCATCGAGAGACCTGCGGTGTAAACAAGACGCCGACGCCGACGCGACGCGACGCGACGCGACGTTTCGTGCCTCGTTGCGTTTCGGAAAACCGGGCTAGAATCGCAAAGAGGTAGAATCACAAATTAAATGGCCCACCTTCCGCTGTGGTAACGAGGACCATGCTTTCAGGATGCTTGTTGACCAATCGACGAATCAGGTCGATTTGCTCCAGGGCCAGCTGGACCGAGTCGAGGTGCTGAGAGGAGCAGGGCACGTAAGCTGACCAAAACTGCAACAGACGCGAGAACGACAAAAATTGGTAAGTTATATACGAGAGTTGTATACGAGATTTACGGTAAGGTTTATCGATTAATGATAACTCGCTGTTCGCTTGTCTTTTTGCGAGTTGCGTACCTTTCGAACGGATTTTCGCGTCCAATTATCTGGTCAATCGGAACGCTCCAGAGCAAATATCAAATCCCAACGACCCGTTACAGTGGCAATAAACGGTCGTTTTTTCTTTCGATTACGGTTCTCGATTACGATGGATCATTAAAAATAATTAAAAGGCCACTGGGGCCACACAACTGGTTGGAAACGTGGCGCAAAGGGCGGTACTTTGAATTTTAAATCCTGCGATATCGGAACTCGTAAATAAACAACTATTTATCCCCTCGCCTCGTTGCGTGGTACCAGCTAAGAAAATATACATATACGCCTATTGGGGGGTAAATTAAACCGATGTATCAGATCCTGGTATCAAATGGTCGCTCGTGATGTTTCGTACGATTTGATAAGGGCCGCCAAGGCTGAACGTGAGCTCGCATACAAATCTTTCTCGTGCGTCGTTTTTTATCGTTGTTAAGCGTGAAACGGAAGGGGAGTCGTACGATTCGATGCGATTATTCTTTCGACGGGCGACGATGGCTCGTTCAGAAATGCGAACCAGAAATTCGTGTACAACTGTGCACGAGGAATCTCTAGTTTGAAGCATCCTGTACACGAGTTGGCAAACTTTTCCGTAACAGTAGCGCTGGACGAAATATACGTCCGTAGCGTGACATTAATCGAGCTGTCGTAAATCAGCCGGCGGCGTTAACGTTTCTTTTTTTCCATGTTAGCCGGGTCGTTCCATTCGCGACAACTTTGCTTCCTTTCGCGTCGCGTCGCCTCGCCTCGATTGTGGCTGTCGCAAGCGAGTTCGTTGCCGCCTTTCATTGTCGGACCGAATCTTCCCGTCGCGATTTGCCTTATGCCACCGTAGCGCGACGCGGCGCACCTTAAAATGCTTGAATACCGTGCCTTTTACCGAGGGCTAATCGAAACAGGGCGATAATTAAATCTGCGGTCGGAACTTGGAGTTTTGGATTCGATGTAACGTTAACCAGTAAACGACAGTTCTCGAAGCTTTTCGATATTCCCTGTTCACGCGATCCTTTCCTTTTCCTTTCCTGTCGCAAAATTACCAACTAATTTTACCCGCGACAGCAATTAATTCCATATCAAAGGTTCGATCAAATCAAAGGAACGTCGAGATCGTAGGTTGGGAAACGTCGCCTGCGTTACCACTTCGTTCCCCGTATAAAATGAATGTTGTGGCTTTTTGACAATCGTAGAAGAGTATCGAAAAACGAAATCTATTATGGTCTCAACTGTGATTCGTGGAACGAATGAAACTTAACGAAACAAGAATCAATTGGCAACGTTATGAATTCACCGAAACGTTACATCTCGAGATTCGTGTCCATTTTTGTTCAATGTTCACGCGGTTGGCTTTCAGACCGTCGCCGACGCCGTTCGCCGTCGCGTGACGTCGCGTCGTAGGTTCTTGGTCTTCTCCAGTGAGGGCGAATTAAGGGACGACCCGCAAATACCGGACTGTTTATAGAGACTTTTTTTTTTAGACGTCTCGCGTCTTCGTTAGAAACCAGCTCACTTGTACTTTTAGGTCAGACGTTTCTATAAAAACGCGTCCGTGTGTGAAAGAGGTGTTTCCATCTCTTTCCGTCGAGTATTCTCTCTTTTTCACAGCTTTGCGCAAAATCGAGCAGCAGTCACGGTCGGGTTTTAGGTCAGACGTTTGTAAAAATATTCACCGACCCGCCTACGGTGTAATCGCGTCGCGTCGTCCCACTTTAAAGACGAGCTCCGCACACTGTCGGCGATCTTACGAAATTAAAAAGCCCATTTGCGTACCTTGTAAAAGTTCTCGAGAGGATATTTTTATTCGCGAGCGGAAAAATAAAGTGTTTCTTACAGACTTTTTAACGCGTTTTCATTGAAATTTTAATACGAGAGTACTTTCTTTTTACTCTAAGAATAATGTACAGAAAAAATAGAAAAAAAAGTATATATATAATTCAATAGTCTCCTTAAATGCACAAGTTTCTCTACGATAAATGGACAGTAACACGATTCGGAATCGAATATCTCGATGAGACAATGCTAATGCAACGATCAAACTTTTTTTTATCATCACCGTTTTTGTTGTAAAACTGTTACCATCGTACTCCTGACATTTTTCTGATTAAAATGAGACCAAACACGACGTAATTCGCATCATATTTACTACGTGTCTCAGCGAAATAATCCCGGTGTTGGTCGCCATTTTCGCACGTCGCTCTGTCCTCTCCATTCGCTGTCCTTCTCTACACTCCAAGTTTGTTGTCAAAACATTAGAAGATACAGTAGCGACTGAAGGAGGTATGCAAAATCGGAGACCTAAAATTAAAACACTCGAGGTTTTTATCTGTTTACACTTGATACGTGCCGAGCGTCGAACGTAGAAAAGGAGAGATAGCGAAAGGAGAAAGAGGTCCGAGAAAAAGAAACCACTCGACAGAAGCGTATCAAACGGTTCGGATCATATTACACCGGTGGTCGGGGCTACTCGGGCGAAACTACGGGCAAAAGAAATTCTGAATGGACTGGCAACGACGGGGATGGGTATCTGAGAGACATACGAGGTATCCCAGCCTAAGTAATACAGAGCTCTAACTCCAAAACTATCGGTCGAATGCGAAATTTCAAATATGGAAATTGCATGGTCAAATGGGCCTCGTGTTTCAGCGAGAAGGAATTTTTGTTAACTTTGTTATTTAACGAGATATGATGGTCAAGTTTCGTTTTTCAAATGGAACTATATATTTTTTTAAGTTGAACAAAAATTCCTTTTCGCTGAAACACGAGGCCCATTTTACCATGCAATTTCCATATTTGAAATTTTCCATTCGGCCGATAGTTTTGGAGTTAGAGCTCCGTATCACTTAGGCTGGGACAGCCTGTATATGTGATGGAAAGAATTGGTATTTCTGTTTGTTTAAATCGCTGCTCGAACGAAATATGTATTCTCTTAAAAGTTTTGGAACGATGTTTAACGTCGCTACGCGTTGTTTACTTTCTCCGAGTTTCACTGTTATTTACCTTATCTCTCCATTTCGTGTGCAAAACGTTTCAGAAGAAATTCCGTAAACGATTTCTGCCTGTTCGTTCGGTAAACGTATTCTCCGCGTGACGCTTTTATCACGAAAGATACCCAATTCCTCGAGGACCGCGAGGTTTTGAATAGTACACACACACATACACACACGCGCGCGCATGAGGACACGAGTTATTTTCGAATCGCTTGGAATTCACTTTTGGAACGCAGTCGCTAGAAACAGCGACCGATTGCTTAGGGGTAGATCCGTCTCTCGAGTACAATCGAAAATGTTGGTACAGTGGCCTGGATTTTCGATGATTTAGCACGTGGCTGTATTACACTCGAACGAATCCACGTTCGATCCCATGTGCACAGCTATTTTTGTCAAAACCTTGAAATATACGCCGCCTTTTCGAAACATGGAAACATGTAGACAAGAGCATATCGTTGGTTCTGCGAGGCTTTGTTGTAGCGGGGATGTCGTTTATCTGAACGGTGAACGATGAACGGTGAACGGTGAACGGTGTCTCGCGATAGACATGGGCTGTTTCGAGTCTACGATCAATGTTCGGTAACCTTTTCGCGACGGATGCCTTCCTCTGGTCTGAATTAACCGGGACAGTGATGGATCGAGCCGGGAGCAGTTTGCCGGTTCCTGTACACACTAGCTGTCCCTATATTATGCATACACTCGAGTATACGATGTCGTCTCGGTGGACGCAACCGGCTAGTCGGTCCTTTCGTCTCGATGCAAGCGAATCGAATACAGAAATCGAAGACCCGTCCGGAAACGTAGCGAAACGTTTCACGTGGACATATTCGCCAACTTTCGTATTCGCTACTCGAATCCGGGTTATCAGCACAGGGTGACGGTCTCGTCGGTGAAGTCGTAACCACGATGGCTGGCCGTTATTCGCGTAATTAGTATTCCCTTTTAATTACGGTATTAATTAAATTGGTTAGCACGTACGACTTCGTAAGGAGCTTACTCGAATTTTGCTCCTCTTAGCCGTCGCGACATTTTGACGTTAACGCGAGCAGGGGAGCGTGGCTTAAGTAATGGAGTAATGGAGTGAGAGGGCTTCTACTGGACGAACCTTGCTAGGCTCCGGTTCTGTAAGCGTAGGGTTGACTTTTCGGAGCAACCGCTCGAGCTCGCGCTCTCGTTCGGTCCCTCTTTATCATGCGGCCGTGGGCTACGGTTCCCATAATCGCGTCTGGAAGAGCTTCTAATAGATGGGATCAGCCCGGTGAATGTTTTGCTAACGAGCGAACGTATCCTCTGGCTATTTTCAAAGGTCTCCCGGGCTATTTTCTTGGGACAGGTTCTTCGTGGATTTCTCGCTACATTGCGCTCTTATCCGCCGTGGTGGGAGCAGATGTTGCTCCACCGGATGGAATTCCATTTCTGACGTCTTAAAGTTAAATCCCTCTAGGATAAAACGGAACCAGCCGAGCTTCGGACGATTCGCTGTAAGAATACCAAGCCCGAAAGAATTCTCGCGCTTGGCGTCGATGCTAACATTGAAAAATACGTTGGGCGAAGAAAAAAAATACTTGATCGCATTAAGAAAAAACCGTCTACCGGAGTATCGTAATTCGCGAGTAATCGAGCGAGCCGGGCGAGCATACTCTTTTCGAGCAACGCGTGTCGATGAAACTTGCTACCTGTGAAATTGCTTCCGCGATGAAATTCCTGGACTACGCGGCTCTACCACTCGTATAATGTACATATAATATACATGATCTGGGGACCAGGCCAGACCAAAGTATTTTTGACGCGGCGCTGATGCTGGCACTGGCACTGGCACTGGCACTGGCACTGGCACTGGCACTGGAGGGTCGATGGCCGAGCAAAGTTACTCCTTGAAACGCGCGCGACTGGCGAATTTGACGGAGCGCAGTTCTCTATAGGCCGCTATTTCATTCGGACACGGCTGCTACCGAATAACCGATGCGACTCGATGAAACGGCATTAGTTGTATCGAGCATTGACGTCTACTCGAACCGGAGACGCCAATCCGCGTTATCGACTCTTCGGCACCGGATGACGTATCGCTGCGCCTTTTCATTTTCAAACGTTGCAAGCTATCGATACGATACTCGGTACTCGATACTCGGTACTGTACCTTGGAACGCGTATACTGCAGAAATTAATATCTATGCACGAAAATAACATGAAACATAAATAATTTGGACATGCGATGATTAAACTAGAATGGGAGGGTCGGTGTGTTTAGATTTGATCAATTTTGAGAAAGACTTGTCTATCGGTCGCGGTGTTTCGCGTATCCATAATCGGTCGTTCGGATTTTCGAACATTATGCGCGGCGCCACGGTAATCCGGCAACTTGGCTAAACTTATCTCGTACAGAGGCGGAAGGCAGAAGGCGCTCTTGTTTCCGCTTAAATCGAAAATCGATATCCGTTCCGACGCAAACCGCGTCCCCTCTCTCCGGAAGGGTGAAAGATAAGAGTGAATTCGTGATCGCGAGAAATGTTAATATCGATAATGAGTTGGTCGGGTTTTACCGTAGACTCTTTCCTATTAAAGTACAGCTCGCTACGGGCAATTGCCGCGCAAATAAAGATCGCTTATCGAACGTTACTTTGTCCCATCCGCTCGTTTTACGATTTACGTCTCCCGTGAAGCTGCGTAACGATCGAGTAGCGAATGTACCGCGATACGATCGCAATCTTCTCTCGACAACTGGCGCGTAACGTGATCGTCAGCCTCGTCGAGAGAAAAAGGCTCCAGCAGGATACAAAGGAAAGCCTAGAGAAAACGAAAAGTCGATTTTCTATTTTCATCGAACGGTCCGATCCGGTCCGGTTTCTTTACAAGCGCATTTTTCCGAAACACGAACCGTCCCGATCGTGGCCTTTCGAGTGGCTCGAGAGCCAAAGCCACCAAAGAAAAGATTTATTTGATCGGCAACTCGGAACGACGGCCATTCGTTCTTCCGCTCCTGCTCCAGCTCCAGTAGCTCGAGTGTACATTCGTCCCGTTACGTTGGTACGCCAACTTTTCGGTGCAATCTTTTCATCTCACCGTCGAGCGTTCTTTCTTTCCTTCGGTGGAAAGCTGGCCAGAGGCTGCGGCCGATCGGAAACATCGACCAAGAGAGAGCGAGACGGAGAAGGCTCCCGTGCAACTTTTTCTCCGCTTTGCACAAGTTACACGAAAAGATAGCTCGTAATGGAGGTCCGAGATTAATCCGAAGGAATTGAAAAAGTTTCCAAAAAAGAATTCGTATTCTTAAAATCAAAAATCAACGGTTCTCTTCGCGCTTGAAACGCGAGATAATAGCGACATGATAGCAAATGCACGTTCTGCCGAATTACGTAAAAGCTCGATTATTATTCAAATAATACGTTCTCGTGTTTGTTTATCAAAGTTTTTTCCTAGTTATGCGTTAGCCTCTATACGGTCGCGATAGCGTAACGGTATCGGTAATCTTTTTCGAAACGTCAAAAGATGACGAACGAAGCGAACGTTACTTTTTCGAAAATTACCAAGGAAAGGGAATATCGAGTCGAACGATCGGACGATGCGACATCGACGCGACGCGACGTGCCGAGACTCTTGGATAAATTTTCGTCATCGCGTAATCTCGGGGAACCGCATGAAATTAATTAGCAAAGTTGGCTCGCGGTTGGGTCAATCGCGTTAATCGCGAGCGCGTCTTTCTCATGATCGCGTGCTTCGAATCAATCACCGTGTGCGGTTGGCGGCGGGGAAACAAACTGATGAAAATCGTTTTAGATCGTGCTCTTAATTAATCGTAGAGTTTACGGTCTGGAAGAACAGCGCGCCGTGTAATTGAAACATCGCGCTGGACAAAGAATCGACGGTGACACGCGATTCTATCGTTCCGCCTGGGATAATCGCGTCCGCTTTAAACACCGCGGAGAAAGAAATATTTACGCTCGATTCAACGTGCAACGAAGACGACACGCGACTCTTGTTTCCACGCCACGGGATGCTGCGCACACGCGCCGACGAGACCTACGAATCGCGAACGTAGCCAGAATGAATATTCTCAATTTTCAGGTAACTCGAGCGTAAAAAAGCTAACGAGAAAATATTTATGGATAGTTGGTATACCAGCTGCGCAAGGTAAAATCGAAAATCGAAAATCGAAAATCGCGTGTTCGATGCAAGTAATTATAGCTTCCCTCGTAGTCGATGGACTGAAGTAGAAAGCAAAGTTTCGTAGAGTAGTTGAATCTTCTGGCATCCCTGTGCGATTACATCGATTTCAGGAAAGGGACGACCGGGTGGCTCGTAATTCTTGTCGCGCCGTAAATCGCCGCGAGGAAATGGACGACTCTCGGGGAAAAGTGTTTCAAATGGAACATCGACTCCTTTCTTCGCGAATAGTTTCCCGCGAGAAAATTTGCAGCTGAACGTCGGCGTCGCGTCGCGTCGCGTCGCGTCGTTCTCCAAGTGTCGGAATTACGGCAATGCACGTATATTCGGCACTGTTCGTGGCACATGGGAAATACAGGGTGTCTTCGCAACTGTATGCAACCCGAAAAGAGACGTATATTATTCTTCGTACAATTGTAAATCGAATCGAATATAAAAAACATAATTTGCTAGTGTTTGCTAGTAATTTTTTAGTGTAACTCTCGGGAACAGTGTCGGGAACACTCGGTATATCTCGGTTCTTACGGATCGCGGAGTAATGTTTTTCGCGAATCGTTCGAGTTATCGCGATTATAGTCGGCTCACCTGTGCCGCAACCATGCCCTCCTTCAATCTTCTGAGATCCGTGTGGCTCCAAGCACTCCGCGACCAAGGGTGGGTATCCCTGAGGTCATCAAACCTGAATTCCCTCAGCTGATTCTTCAGAAACTTCCGTATGTTCCACGGGAGATCGTTGTGCCTGAAGTAAACAAAAAAAATATAAATACCCTTCGTGATTTACCGGTCGAGTCGTGTTAGCGAATCGTTTCTTTTTCTTTTCTTATTTTTCTATGAAAGATAATTTAGCGTTAGTCGGCTAGTCGATATATCGAGTTATACGGTATATCTGGTTAATACGTTTCTTACTTTACGTTTATTCATAAATTAACGCGATATATGTGTAACTCCTAATCGAACTAGCCAACAGAAATAAAATACTACACTATACGAATTATTCGATAATTCGATGAAAAAAAAAGATGATGTGAAACAATCTGTTTGGAACCCGTAGCCTCGCGGCACGGCTGGGGCGCGACGCGCGTCTCGTGGATACGAGTGGTTGTATCCCCTGGAGATAGGGGATTGGAACGAGAGATATAGGGCGGAAAGGACGAGCAGACGAGTAAACTTAACGTCTCGCAATGGTGTTGGTCGGCGCACAAGTTTTGCCGCGGGTTTGGTTGCGTCGCCTACGGCCAGTCCAACTTATTTCATCCGGAATCCTTGATTTCTTTCGTGAGATTTCTACGTAGAATGGTGGCCAAATATTGTCTGCCGGATTCGTCGGAACAAACGTCAACATTGTTAGCGAAATGCCGTTAGAATAAAAGTCACGGAAGAATTTGTCCGGAGCGGTAAGCAAATTCTCGCGTTTCTCCTATACATGTTTTCTATTTGTATTTTTTTACACGTTTATACGTACACGTATACGATTCGTTTATACATACGTACGTTGCCATTGCGATGTTCGCTGTTGTCCGTACAGTCCTCGAAATAGAGGTTCGTATCACGCGAGAGGTTGGCGACCAACTTTTACGTTAATGGTGTAAAATAATTGAACTCGGAAGACGTAAACTAATACTCGAGAAAGACGACCAGACGAAAGACGAACGATTCGGAGAAGGATGAAACAACAGGTAGGAAAGTTGGCGACTTGGAACGGCGCTAGCTGTCTAACTTGCTAAGCTTTAGTTACTCGGTTTCGGTTCCTTATTCCTTGTTAATTAGGTCGGTCTTATTGTTGGCTTTGGGTATCGCAGCTATCCGAATTCGATCTTCGGTTGTAATCAATGCAACCTAGTCCGCGTCCAAGATATTGCTCAAGGTACAATCCGTTGCATTATTTTGTGCAATTTAACGCTACCGAGACTCGGTGATACGTTCGAATTTGACCTAGCAGCCGTGTCTCCTGGGGATAAGCTTTAATTAAACTATCCGATGCAACGTCGTAAAGTAAGCTGTATCGAGTAAACGAGAAACTTTCGAATCTAACGAAAGAAGAGTAGAGTTCGTTAACAGCAGGATTAATCGTTTCAACTGTGTTACACCTACGCGACACCGACCATCTCGAAACAGTCTGTTGGTTCGAGAATTGGCCACGATTCGATACTTTTAGTTCGATTACAAGCAAGTCGTTAAAGCGTATTCTCCGTCGCATACGCGTAAAGCGTAAACAGTTAAACACGCGTCGCCATCCCAGCCTGTTTTATTCGGTTCAGCTGCGAATTAACTCTCCGCGGCTCACGCGAAGAGCACGACTCGCAGATAATACACGTTGAAACAATTTGAATAATCGTTTCGCGCGGATAACAGGAGCGAGGTCCTACCTCGCACTGTCTCCGCACTGTCGGCAAATCGCTAATTGAGCAGGATGCGACACCGCGAACTTGCATTTCCTGATAGCGTCGCGATTACACGGCCACGCGATTACTCGGGAAACTCGCAACTGCACCTCCTCGGTCGCGCAAAAGTTCCGTCTCCTCGATTCCATAGAACGCGGCAACTTTAAACGCTTCGATGTGCCTTGCTCTTCGTACGCTTGAAATTTCACCTCGAGTGTTACGACGAGATACGACTACTGTATGTACGCGTAGGTTCACGGTTACGCAGTCGCAACAGGGAAATTATTTAACATGGCTCGATACGCCAAGTAGGGCGTTACTTTCCATGTACCGGTAATCGAACTTTTACCTTTCATATGCTTAACAGACGCGCGTTTTTCGAATAGATCTCGCAATCAGCCACGAAAATGACGAGGGAATCTGCCAAATGTCAACATCATTCGGTTTATTCTTTTTTCTTAAAAGGAAACGATTAAACGGAAATTTAACCAAAAGTATCAGATCGGTAGAATAGAATGCCGTCAAGTATAGGTATTTCGACGAATAAAACTATGCAACCGGGAAGGGTGTACGCTCGCGCCCGCGTATTATTACCTCGACAAATCTGACCTGAATCAGAGATGGATCTCCCGAGCGTTTGCCACGAACCGCACTGCACCGCACCGCACCGCACCGCACCGCACCGCACCGCACGATAGCTGAATGCACTTTGAACGCGTGGTGCGAGGGCGGAATTCAACTTCGAACGGAATTAGGTAACCAAACGAGTAGCCGTACTCCCATCTTCCGCGCCTGCTACTTGTGTCGAGCGATAATTCCAAAAGTTTACCGGGATCGAAACTCTCTCGAAATATTCCTACCGATTAAGGTCGTGCCCGAGCTTGCGTGCAAGTCCTTCGATTGTACTTGACTCGAAGAAAATATTGGCTAACGGCGACGACCATAACGGCAACGGCAACGGCAACGGCAACGGCAACGGCACCAACGATAACGCGATCTGTTTATCCGTTTCCAACCAAAGCGTTCCTTCCATTTGGCTCGTTCCGAACGGTGATTGGATTTTCAGGTTGAATTCGTTCGAGTAACGAGCACTCTTTACCGCGACGATATCGACTCTCTAATTCGAATCCTCCGAGACCCGACTCGATCTTCGTCCGGTCGTTCGTACGCGGAACCGGAACGATACTGGAAACGGTTCAATTAACGGATGCGGCATGGACCAACAACAATTAGGGAGATCGACAAACATTTGGGGCCGGAATGTACGGTTTGGTACGCGTTACTTACGCGCGCGTGCACGCGCATTCGGAATTTCATTCGGATGATAGCGTAGTGTACTTGTCGCGTGAATGTCTCGGCTGCGCGGCTTCGTTTCCAGATACGTAATCGAATAGCGGTAAAGTCATTCGCGTTAAGCAGCTTGATGCGGTTGTTTGAACGTAGGATCGTTAAGACGCGCGGCAAACACGGGGATTTTAACGGCACGAATGCGGCGCGGCTCGGCGCTCGAAAACCGACTTAAATCGTCGTTGAGCAAATTAAGCATACGGGGTCACGAACCCTTTAGGCGCATTAGAAATCGCTTTATCGCGCGGCAACCTCGTAAACTGGGTTCCTTGGTCTCGTCCATTTAAACTACTCCTACCCTTCCTTCGAGTATCGTATCCACGTGGGAACGAATAGCGCTCCAACGACTCCGTGCCTTGGCAGAATTTTATTAGATATCGCGCATTTCAAAATTTTGCTCATCAAACGATAACTACCACGAAACATAATTTCCTATTCGAGGATTTATGGACTTTTACCATAAGGAATTTTCAAGCATGCATCGACAAGCGCAAGCGCTTTATTCCGACTGGCTTGTATTATATTTTACTCGACACCAGCATCGAAATGTTTCACGCTCGATAAAGTTAAATCATGTTTAAACTGACAATTGTTTGATATATTCGGTATTGCTATAAAACAAGTAAACTTCATCGATAAATAAATAAATTTAACCGTGCGCGTCGCGATTTCGACGAATGTCGAAATACTTTTAAGATACTTTCGCGTTAACCTTTCATCCATATTCAAGGGATGCAACGCGTGTCTAAGAGACACGATATCTCTGACGTCGATTCTGGGAAAATTTTGGTGAATTTTCATCGTTTGCAAGGGAGAAGCTACGACACGGGAGAAATGGTACATCTCGGCTGGTGGAAGGGTACATAATTGGCAATGCGCGATAAGGTGGCTGGCCCCGATATGCATACGAATGCCGAATATTCCGTTAGCTGGCAACGGTGACGTCACTCTGTATGCAAATACCAACTTCCGGTTTTAGCGACGCGTTTCAGGCCTATCGCCCGCTCGAAACGTATCTGGCCGAGGGCCTTAACAGCTTCGATGCTTTCTACAATTTAATCATCTGCTTCCGGTGTAAATTGTTCGTTGAAAATAATTTACGACCAATCGGAGACGCCCATGGCATTGCGAACAAGCCGGGGAATTAATCGTTCTCGTTCGCTAAAATATTTCTTCTCGGGCTGCGATAAATATCGTTTTACGTAATCGACGTAAGTGCATTTAAGACTACGATAAAGCCGATACTTTCGTAAAATGAAACTCTCGAAACTCTCTTTCTCTTTGTATACGTACGTTATATATGTATAAATATAAATAATAGGTGAAATCACGAATTACAGATTTTGGAAAATGTAAAAGCTACTATTTTCAAGCAACGAGTGGTCCATCTGTTCGCACCGAATTATTCGATGCAGTGTTTACGAAACGAGAAATTGTCGCCAAGTTGAAAGAAACGACCGAGTTTTTCGACGAGCGAAACGGTAAATTTTAGCGAAAGAACATTGCTGGGTACATTAGCGGTAAGTTTTCTTTTATGTTTAATTTGTTCAGCGATTAACCGCAGCTCCCGACTGTTTCGGCGGTCTCTTCGGTGCGGCCGCGCCGCGGCTAGAATCATAAAATCTAATCCAGCGTAAAATCCAGCGAGTATCCGGTAAACTTTGTTACTGCCTCTTTAAAGTTGCCCGACGTCCTGGAGAGCTAACTCTCTCTCTTTCTCTCTATCTCTCTCGTGGGCGAGCGCGCGCGGCCGTCTTTGCTTTTGCCGAGGGTTAATACGCCCTGTCGTGGCACGACAATTTATTTTGCGAACCCCACCCTCGCAGTTCGCCCCGTGCAGTGACTCGATGAAGTTATTAAAGTTCGTCTGAGCTCCGGCACGGTGTACCGCAGACATTACCGTTACATCTGCGTTACATTACAAGGGTTATCTCACCTGGCGGAGCGAACTAAATGAATTGCGCGCGACGTTAATACTCGCGACATCGCGCTGCTACGCGTAACCTAGCCA